AACGGCCCCAGTATTCGTTTTTTTTTTACAGAAGAAAAGGAAAAAAAGATGGTAAACCTATGAGAAGAGAGAAAAAACGTGGCATAGGATCGTTGATCTAAGGATGTTCGTTCATTCGTTCGTTCATTCGTTCATTCGTTCATTCGTTGAGCCTGTTAGAAGAATACGAAACGTTTCGAACAAACTAGACACACGTTTTTCGTTACTTCACGTTCAAGACTGATAGCTTTCCTTTGCGTTTTATGTTTTACGTTTCTTCTACTTTACTTTTCATCCCCTTTTCGAAGCCAACATCCAAGAAAAATCGTTTTTCTTACACATTTTCTAACGATTCTTATCTTTAACTACCATCTTTTCTTTTTCTTTTTATTTGTTTGATTATATTTCGATTACTAAAATTATGATTGGGTTGTTTGGAATGTAGTTTCGTTTTTTTCTGATAAAATGAAGACATTAGTTTATGGAAATTGGCAAATAATGACACGTGATATCAGTGAGTGGTTAAATTTATCAAATTTAACTGTTTGTGACAACTTGAAAGGCCAAGGTTTTAGGTTAGAAAGTAAGAATTATCTTCGATTTTATGAAAGAAACATGAAATTACTTTAAATATAAATATATTTTATATAATTTAATTATTTTATTCTATATTTATATAATTAAATATATTAAAATACATTATATAATATATAAATACGTAAGAAACGACGGTAGCTCGGTGCTAGAGTCACTAGCTAGAGGAAGTAAATTCCTGGGATCGAATCCTATCAGTGATAAATTTATGAAGTTTGAACTTTTTTTATAGTTTATAATACCAATTATTATAAATAATAATACAATTCAAAACACATAATTTATAAATAATAAAATATTTATTTGAAATATAAATTATAAAAAAATTATAAATATAATTAAATAATAAATAACTATAATTAAATATTTAAAATAAATAATATAAAAAATATTATTAATATAATTAAATATATAAAATAAAAAATATTAAAAATATAATTAAATAATAAAAATTAAATAAATATAATTATATATATAATATAATAAATTATATAAAATTATATTAAATTAAATTTATATTACGTAAAAATTGATTTGAAATTAAAAACAAGAAGAATAGGAATTTATAATAATAAACATACATAAATAATAAATATTATAATAATAAATTCCTGATTAGGATAAATATTTTCGTACGTATTAGAGGTATTATATTTGTCATATTTTAAAATATGAATTTTATTTAAAATATACTGTAAAAACTAATATCGTACGTCGATATGATGTCCTCTCCTCCCTTTTTCCCCTTTTTATTTTTTTTTATTTCATTTGTGTATTATAATATGGTAAACTCATATTTTTATATAAAAAAAAAAGGAAAAAAAACGAAACGAGATAAAGATTTGACCCTTATGCATAAATGCATCTTTTCTGGTATCGTATTTCACGTTCGTGACACGTCAATACACATACACACACGTACACTCATGCACACGTAACATAATTTTGACTTTCCTTCGTAGGAGACGAACCCACGAGACTCGTTCGAACTTTGATTCGGAATTTATGATTTTGCCCAGGATGCATCCGCGTCCTACGGTAAAGTGACATAAACTTTGCTTTATGCATTCGCGAATTCCATAAAACGATGCTTGCATTTTGCTTTAACGCGTTTCTAACTTCTTCTTCTTCTACTTTTTCTTTTTTTTTCTTCTTCTACCTTTTCAATTACGTTTACCAAACCACCTTCGAGTAAGTTTGGTTTAATTCTAAATTGAATATTTTCATTTGATAAGTTTAATCGACTTATTTCTTTCCTTGCTTCCTCTCACCCCAATTTTTCTTTTCAAAATGCATCAATGTATCCTCATGAAGAAAGAATGACGATAATGATGACGTTAATGATTATCAATGGTATGAATTTATTCGAGAGATATGACAGTATGTATTATGTAGATTTGAAATAATATTTTTAGATTTTTTATGGTGACACATAAGAAACGAGAAAGCTTAAAAGTATAAAATGGTATAACATCGTAAATCGTACTTCCGTTTGTTGGACTTCGGTCAGCACGAAACTCTCTCTCTCTCTCTCTCTCTTTCTGTGCCTTTGCGATTCGCGATAAGTCGAGTCGTTCAATCGCATAACTTACTTCTCTCCCAACCATACTCGTATTCCATGCCATTCGTATTTACCGATAACAGAATCGCTTTGAACCGGGACCACCGATCGTCTTTATCTCTTTCGACAGGGGCAAGAAAAAAAAAAAGAAAAAGTAATCCCCTTTTTCTTTGCAACCATAGTCTTCTAGTAAACTTTTCAAAGTAATCCACCTACACAACCATTTTCTCGATACTTTTCTTGAAAAATATTATTAACTTACATTAATAACTTGTATCTTTTTTTTTTTATAAATAATTAATAGTAGGTATATCAAATGTTTTTATGTATTTTATTAATTATTTTATGTTTTAGAAACTTATATGGTTATTGCATTGTAAAATTAGTATTATTATTATACAATATTTAATACGATAGTATATTTGTTTTTTTTTTTTTAGAATATTATAATATATTCTTATTTTTTATTTAAAAATATAGAAAATTGAGTTTTATTAGAAAATTTAGTAATTATATTTTTTTTCTTTTATTTATTTTAATTATTATTATTATTTTATATATTATTATTAGGTTGATCAAAAATATCATACAGTTAGTATTATTATTATTATTATACAATAGTATATTCTATTTTGTTTTATACAATATATTGATATATTTTCCATTCAAAAATAAATAAATTAAAATAATTATTATAAAAATTCAATAATTATATCATACGTTACATTCATATTTTATAACACATGTATTAATATTAAATATTATTATAAAAATGTGTATACGTGTGAAAATATTTATATCGAATTACTTTTTTATCTGTAAAAAAAAAAAAAACAAAACAAAAGAAAGTAAATAAATTTGTAGAATGTGTTACGAAATGATGTAAGTAGAATGCAAGAAGAATTTTATGCTTATGCAATTATGTTTACACTGAAGGTTTAGGTGTTAATACCAAAGCAAGGGTATCGTTGTGAAGATTGTGTATCATCGAGTTTCATACGACCGATCGATCTCGTTTTATTCACGTTACTCCTTCGAAAGAGCTTTTGCGTAAGTTGAAACCATTGACATCGATCGTCAAACTTCATCAAAATATCTTTTTTTTTTAAAACAATCATATTTTCAAAAGTATTTCAAATAAATTAAAAATCGAATAAATCATAATTCAAATTTATGTTGTTTATACAGTACCAGATATTTTCGATGCAATTTAACGTTTATGCATAATCATATTATTAATTATTTAACCAACTAAATCCTCTCATTATGATTTAAACTTTGTAAATTAAAACGATTCCACGTACTTTGAACATTTTTGTTAATGAATATGTAATTAATTAGAAAATTCGTTTGCAATAATTGAATTGAAAATTATTATAATTAAAGAAAAAGAAAATCAAAAACAAATAAAACAAATTTTAATTTCATAATTTTACAAATGGTTTTTTTTTTTCTAATATCTGGGAACATGTTTGTTCTTTAAGAACTGGACAAAACAAACATACAAACGAACATAAAAATAAAAATAGAAACTAGGAATAAATTCGTTTGGCTTATCGCACAATTCTCGGATTAAATCCAATCCCTGGTTATAATTGACCTCGATCATTTGAACTCTTTTTTCTCTCTCTCTCCCTCTCTCTCTCTCTCTCTTTCTATCATTCACTTTTTATTTGTGTAACGCGATGAAACGAAGCGCGAGCTTTTTTCACGCGGCCTATATCACGCATCGGTCATTTCGCATTTACGGAAGCGTTGACTCGTTGAAAAAAAAAAGAAAAAAAAAAAAAGAACTACGTTACGCATGGTTGCATTTTGCAATTGCATGTACTAGTAATCTCTCTCTCTCTCTCTCTTTCTCTCTCTCTGTTTCTTTCTTTCACTCTTTCTTTCTAGTATTTGAGTACATTGAGTAGGTATGTCACGTCACGTGGTGTTTTAACCATTTCATTGATATGCACGTAATCATTTTGATTACAACTATTGTTTTACTTATTTACTTTGGTATTTTTTTTATTATTTTTTAAATTCTTTACAAATTCATTTATTATTATAATAATATTGGTTGGTTTTGAATTCTATTCCCTTTAATAATTGTTCAATATTTTTATAAAATTATATAAGATATAATTAATTTATTATTAAATTATTATTTTATTATTATTATTATTTGCAAATTGTTCAATATTTTTCTAAAATTATAAAATATTATTTATTATTAAATTATACTTTTGTTATAATATTAATAAAATATATTTTATTAAAATAAAGGATGTTTTTGTTAAATAAAATTATATTCGTTTAGATTAAAAAAAAAAAAAAAAAGATATGATAATAAAATTAATTTTTTAATTTTTAAAATAAAAAAATTAATATATTATAATTTATATAGTTATTTATATTATAGTTATATATTTTAATTGTATATAATTTATATTATTATTATTTATATTAATTATATATAATAATAATATAATATTATTATTATATATATATAATGCTAGATTAATTTTCTTAGTAAATATTTTTATAATAAATTAAAACCCAATACTAAGAATTTGATTCATCATCCAAGAAAATATTCTTTTAATTGAATATATATAATTAGAAACGTGATATCACAAACATTATTAACTTTAACGATTACTACGAAAGATATTACAATAGAAGAAAATTAGTGGAACGTATAAATGTTTATCCAGGAATGAAGTAACTTCCTCTTTAATTATATACACATATACATATATACATACTGAAATATATATATATATATATATATATATATATATATATATGTATGTATAATTTGAATTATATTAGTTATTATTAGTCTAATGAAAAGTGCAAACGTTCCGGAGGTACTCACCACTGCACAGAAGTAAAATGTGCAGCACCGCTATCCGTGTGCTCCTCGTAATCCTGAAGGCACGCTTATCCATATCGAATACAAATTCAATATCGTATTTTCTTCTTTTAAATAAATCAATATATGTATGTATATATATATTAAATTATATCCAATTTTAACAGCACTATTTAAGAATAAATCCTAAATCTTAATCCTTTGTTTCTTACAATCAACCACTGATTATAAAATCAATTTCTTCCTTTTGTTTCTTTTATTATGACAAATTATTTCATATCTTGGTCTCACTAAATATTCACCTAATTTTTATTTTTATTTTCGTTTATATATTTTATTCCAATTGCAAATGTTGAATGAACACACAAATTTTGATAATCTTAAAAAGATTCACCATAGATCCACGATAATAATGGATCACACCATTTAAATCTTGTACCACATTCTTATTCAACACACACCCCCATATTTATTAATTTTTTTTTTATCCACAAAATGTATGTTCACTTGAATTTACACAAACCATCTGGATTGACAAAATATCGGAGTGAGTGTATAAAACACATTCTACTTTTCTCCACCTTGTAACATTTTCCTTCTCCTTTTTTTTTTTTTTTACGATCACATTGTCGTGGGGTAATAATTTTCAATATTGTAAATCCTAAATGAAATTTTTTGAAAAATTTACGATGACGATGATGAATTTTTACAAACACACACTCGCACGTGTACACTCAAACGAATACCAGTTTTTTATCGACAAAATAAAAAACACATACACACAATACTATATATATCTTGTTTTTAAAAAAATATAAATAGGTACACACATAAACATATATATATCTATATATATATATATATGAAAATGATTAATGGTAGAATTAAAAATTGGATTATTTTATTTTTTTGTTTTTTCAGTTAGGAGACAGGACCAAAATGGTAGAGAAAGTTTAGGGAAAAATAGAAAAAAAAAATAGGATAGATAAAGGATAGATAGAGAAAAAGAGAGAGAGAGAGAAAAATAATCCAAGATAGTTTGAAGCAATGCGCACCAGTCAACGGTCGCACGGCAACTGAGCGTGGGGTCGTGGGTTGCCGTTGCAACCCCCCACCGTTTCTCTTTCAAGCGTCCAACCCCCCCACTCTATACTCTTCTTCTTACACATCAGCAGCAGGAGCAGCATTACTACCCATACTACCCATCACCATATGCAATCCACAAAGACATCCGTTGTGCCTACTTAAATTACACAAACATACACACATATTTATATATATATATAAATTACCACATATGTTTCATTGGTAATTTTGAAAGAATTTTGGATTTTATATTAAAAAAAAAAAAAAATAACGTGTTTTTATTCTTATTTTATTGTTAATAATAGATTTAGGGATTTTTTGTGAATTTTTATTTTATTAAATATTTTGAAATATTGATTACATATATTATAATATTATAATACAGTATATAAAATATATTTATATTTTATTATTTTAAATATATTTAATTTTAATTTTATTTAAAATATATTTATATTTAAAATAATATATTTATAAATTTTATATTTGTATTAATATTATATTAGATAAATTTATATTTAAAATATAAATATATTTTATATAAATACTTTAAGAATAAAAATTAAAACTAAAATTAAATATACTTAATTATATATTATAATAAAGTATATAAAAATATAATATATAAAATATTTAAATATATTATAATATTATAATATTATAATAAAGAATAAAAAATTAATGCGTATATTTTTGTACGACAAAAATTAGACCTCGTAAAAATCAACTATTAAAATTTTATATTTAAATTAAAATCATTCCCATTAAATAAATTGAAAATTTTGTTTAACATAATTAATAAATTTATCGTATAATATTTATATAATTTTATATTATAACAATATATTTAATGAAACATTGAAATTTTTATTTTCATTTGAATTTTGGTACCAGTCACAGTTGGGGCCGTTGTAAAAGGGAGGAAAGGACGTGGACGACGGTTGCAATGATTTTCAACGTTGGAGTTAGCGCATTCTGGTGTAAGGGCAAAGAAACTTAGTAGGGCTTTCTCTTCCGTACCTTCAAATATGTAATCGGTGGGTAGGGGGTTGGGGGAGGGGTATCCCGCCAGGCAGGTGGTTCGGTCTCCCTCAGGCAAGGGCCGAGGGACGAACCATCGTCTTCTTTACCCTCCCTTTTATATATATATATATATATTTTTTTTTGCTTCCCTTTCTCCCTTTCTTCCTGCCCCTTCCCTTTTCTTTTTTTTTTTTTATTCGCATTTCTTTCTCTCTTTCCCTATAATGAAACCTGCCGCTTATGGGGTTTTCTTTTTCTTTCTTTCTCTTCGTGCTTTAGATCACGTTTTGGTTCTTTTTGGGTTTAAAAGATGGAAAATGAGTTCAAGATGGTCTTACTCGTTTCCATGAATATCATCCACGATGGATTCGAATTGAGGAACCTTCGAATTCCTAACTGTAAAACGTGAAACGTGACTATTTGTATAAGGGATACTTTTTTAAATAAATGAGAAGAAATAAAAGGAAGAAAAGAACAGAATTTTCACATTTTTTGATAATAAATCAAATAATGTTGGTATCATTGTTCGATCGTATGCGTTACCAATTGACAGAACGATCAAACGTGACTATTTTCTGTTTCGTTTTCCTTCTTCTTCTTCTTCTTTTTCTTCTTCTTCTTCTCTGGTGTCTTTTCAAGTCAATCACGTTTTCCGTTTTTCTTTTTAGGAAAATTTATGTGATTTTATTAAAAAAAAAAAAAAATTAAAGAAGAAAGGGTTGCTGTGAAGTACTTAAATGTTTAATAAAAATAATAATAATAATATTCATGATTTAAAATGAATTTAGAATAATTTAGAATATCAATTTTCTATCGATTTGATATGATTAATCAAATGATACACATAATTTAGTTTTATTAATATAAAATATTAATAAAAAAATAATTAATTATAATAATTAATAAATTATATAATAAATAAAATAAAAATTTATTTTAAATCAATAAATTAATGATATAAAATAAAATAAATAATTTTCATATTTAAATAAATAACAATTGTTAAATACCAAAATAATTCTAATTTGTTTAATGTTTATAAATATCATTGTACAAATAATTCAATTATTTTTTTGTTACATATTCGTATTGTGACAAGTAAAGGGTTAACTGTTTATTATCAAAAACTGGATGACAACTTATAAATGTATTAAGTCACTGCCATCACATATACACATACACACACATATATATGTATATATATATATATATGCAAATGTTAAAGAGAGAAATCAAAGGAGCTTTTCATACGTTTCCTCTCGTCTGCTTTTATCGTCGTTTATCGATTCCTGTTGCGGAATTCTGTCACAATTCGCTTCTACGAAGTCGACGTTCGGATATGGCGTATTTGCGAAGGGTTGAAACCGAGCTCAAAAGGATTCGCGAGCGTGCAAATCCGCGACTACTACTACTCTCTCTCTCTCTCTCTCTCTCCTTTTGCCTTTCGCACTTTGCCGTTTCTATCCCAAATATAGTAACGTTCTACCTAACATACATACATAGTACTATCACATATAATATATATATATATACACCTTTATACAAACATATACAAATACAGAGATACAAACACATTTCAAACAATATATATATATATATAGGTTTCTTTGAGTGTATGTTTCTCTTACTATATATATAATATATAATATTATATATATATGTTAGAGTATGTGTAGATTGGGAAGCATAAGGCACAAGGCGTCAATGCCGTATACACACACGGCTTCATCCTATTGGCGTACTTTGTCGGTAGGTATGCCTATTACATTCCCGTCACAGACGACGGATCTTGTACTCAATCGGCCTATACAAATCATAAACAGTCCCCTATGATTCTGCTAATACCGTATTCATATTGCGCATTCAGGCCCTTTTAGTTCTACAGACCGTTCGGAAAATCCTGATGATATGCTACTACTACGTTTATGTTACCATTTCAAAGCTTATTATTATTTCTATTTCTATCTAATATTCTCTCTATATGTCTCTATGTATGTATGAATGCATGTGTGTGTGTGTGTGTGTGTGTGTGTGTGTGTGTGTGTGTGCATAGATTTTATTTTTTTATTTATTAAATTTTGTAAAATATATATTTTCTTTATTGCAATGTGTTTTTTTAATTTTTACGAATGATATGTTTATTATAATAAAATATTTGATGTTGTTTTTTTTGGATTGAAAATAATTTCGATACTTTGTGTATTTAGAAAAATATTTATAAAGATTTAGATTGTATACACAAAAAATTCAATTTATAATATATTATACGTATTATATTATTATTTTATTAATAAAATTAATATATAAAAATATATCAAATAATATATAATATTAATGTAACAAATATATTTCATTCTGAAGTTGCAACTATTTAAAAAAAAAAAAAAAACAAATTTGAAAATGCATCCCTAAAATGGATATGCAAATGGTGGGTAATGGGTTAAGTACTGCACAACTACCCCTTTTCTCTTGAATTTTTTTTCTAATTAAAATTATACATTTTTCTACAAAATTATAAAAAAAATATATAGAAAAAAATTACGTATTAAATTTGAAATAACTCACGATTATTATAATAAACATGAGTATTACGGTTTATTGGAACAATCTAATGAAATATTCCATTAGGATCAATAATTTATTAACAATTTAAATCCTGTAATATTTCATTATCAATTGATATTTATAATAATAATAATAATTATTATTATTATCGTGAAATTATTACATTTTTGTTGTTGTTGCTTCTTTCCATTCTCTTCTTTCAATGTTTATTTTTTTATTTTTTTAATTAACATTTGACGTTAATCAGATTATATTATGTGATTAAATTAGATGAGGGAATGAAATTGAAACGTTTCAACTCTCTTGGAAATATCATTTTTCGTTTATTGTCGTTTAAAATTTCATTGTAATTATAAAGTGACCTGTGTTAATGGGGTGGGTATATCTATGGGTAGAAGTTGATCAATGATTTCAATCCTTTTAATGAATGTACAAGGAGTTTCTACAATATAGTTCGTCAAGCATTCACAAAGTATTCGATAAAGTAAATAATTCAAATTAATATTTAAAATATTTCGATCGTTGATTAACTTCATTCTAAATTCCAATAAATTGATTAAAGTATCTGAAATCGTTATGCATTATTATTATTATTATTATTATTATTATTATTATTGATTTATATATATTTATTTATTTTATTTATAAGTATCAATATATTTTGTAAGCTTCTCATACGATCAAAAAAAAAAAAAAAGAAGGAATTTATATTATTATAATACACTTTACTAGAACTATTTTATGTAAAAAAAAAAGATGAGCAAGTAATGTGAGATGAATGAAAAGGAATGTACAATAAAAAATAAACGTCATGATAAAGTCAAAAGGGACAAGAAAAATTGATCGAATAACGTCTAAAGAAAAGAAATGAAAAAAAAAGAAAATTTATATCTTCCCACTTTAAATTAGAATTGAAAAGAAAAATGAAAAACGTGTCTCACCCCGATACCTTTTTTTTTTTTTCGAGTTAAATAATCAGTTTCGTATATGCGCGAACGCATTTGAAAAATTTTCTATCGTATGCGAGAACACGTTTGGAATTTGAAAAATAAAAAAAAGAAAAGAATAAAAAGAAAAAATTTCTTCTTTCTATCCAATCGTCTTAGCGTCTCTTGTCCGCCGGTTTGTTCGAACG